GATAGTACTCTTAATATGATTCCCCATTCGTAGCATGTAACCAATTCTGAGGAGTAGGTTGTTAATATACTACTTTTAAAACCTCCAGAAAGTTTCCAAAGGAGGCATATATTATAGGTGTACTAATAGTAGCCTGTTTAACGTAATCATTCACTAAGAAAGAAAGTTTTTTGGGATTCTCACGGGAATGAAACTGCCTCCCCACTATAACGATCTATGCTAGTCACACCACAAAGATCCCTTTATTATGAGGGTTCCATCTAATTAGCCTTTTATTTTTGTCGCCTTAGATACTATAAAAGTTCGAACTACTACAGTCTTTATTGTTTCAACCGACTTCACTATACACTCAGCTCTCTACTATGAACTACGTATATTTTGTGCTTAAGTGGTATATTGCGCTATATTTTTGACAGTTTCCCAACTTTTTTCACATCGATAATTGACAAGATTTAGTAAAGAATAATATTTCAGCTACCCTAAGTTATTCGTATTTTAAATATTCCAATTTTTTAAAGGAATTATCACCATAACAATATCCGTGTAAAATAAAAGAGGTATGATTAATATAGAAAATGACAGGGATTTACCACATTCCGCAATTAGCACCATTTAATATTTCATATTACATATATACAGGAGCTCGAAGAATTGTAAAACTGAACTGGCAATAGGCAGGGCACATAGCTCGTAGGATAGATGGCCGTTGGAAGAGTAAAGTCCTCGATTGGTGACCGTGGACCGGAAAATGCAGCGAGGGAAAGCTTCCGACAAGGTGGACCGACGATCTGGTCAACATCGCTGGAAAGCGTTGGTTGCGAACAGCGCAGAACAGATAGTCGTGTAGATTTTTGGGGAAGGCCTTTGTTCGGTATTGGTCGTTTTCCGGGCTGAAATGATGATGATGATAATCATGGTATTCATTCCTAATGTAAATTTATTCATAATGTGTGTGACTATATCAATAATGTGTGTTAAACATCAATTTTAAAAATAACTACATGTACGTGTACACAATGACTGTTTTTTTATCAAAACTGTTAATTGCTGAAGTCCTAATTCCGAACTTCAAATTTTGTTAAGTTAAAATATTTTTGTGGACATCACTACATTTATTTGTATATAGCTCCATGTTTTAATACATACTCAATAATTGTTTCTTTTAGGCTACAGTTAATAAGAGTAAAGCCGGTATGATAATAAAGAAAATAACATAAAAAGTATTTTATGCCCTAGGGAACTTTCACATGACATAAGATATTCCTTTTTAATTTATTAAAGGATAAGGTCAACCAAGGGGAAAATTCCAGATAATATTACACTGATAATCTATATTAGTAACAGTAATTATATAGAAAAATAAGGTAACATAACATGATATGTTAACTTTGTTAGTCAGTATTTCCAATCTCTGTGCTTATTTCCAAAAAAAAAAAATAGATTATTACTTTTATATTATTTTATATTAAAAAAATAGATTATATACTTTCGGAATTGATATAATACCATTTTATTTTTCTAATTCTATTTATTTTAATCTTCTAATTAAATTACCTTGTAATAAGTAGCTCAAATGTTTTTGTAAGTTCTTAATTTATTAATTAGAATATCTAGAGTAGCTAAGTGACATTTCGCATTATAAATTGGATAAAAATCATGTGGTTCATCAAAGGTATTGAATTATATATGCCTACATCGAATATCTTGACGACTGTTATCCGGTAGGGTAATCAGAAGTATTGTTAACTGTTGATGTTTGTAGAAGTCTCAACATATCCATAGTTCGCTGGGCATATTTAAATACAAAGTAACAGGTAATGGTGCTACCGCCGCGCCATCTAAGGTATTATATTTTGGTTTCCTTTACTGGAAAGTCAATGAGAAATATGAATTGATCAATAAAGTTTTATTTTAGTGTAAACCAGAACTGAACTCAGGATCTCTTGGGTGTAAGTTAGGTTAATAAACGTCTAGGCGATGACCCTCTATGCTTTTGAATTCTGTATAATTATTTTTCCGTTTTTGATCTTACATATAAAGTGGAAAGGTTCTAAATAAATGATAAATTGATTTTTCAACGAAGCAAATCAAAAGCAAACGAGCATATGCGCAATCCAAAAGAACCAAATTTTCTGCTCACCAATATGGCACCATAAATATTGTAAAAACAAAACGAAAGTCCGTAAATCATAGCCGTTCGCCACATAAAGGGAAATTCGCGCGAACCCGTTCGATTAATGAGCTGTTTGAAGCAGGTGAAAGCCGTGATGCTTTTTAAAGTAATTAATTGCGGACTACAGAGTATATACATTGCTATAATAGTACTTAAAAGCGTCTTTTTTTTACTATTAATACTCTGCCATTTCTGTACATGCTTTTGGGAATTGACAAGTAAGTAGATAAAATTATGTTATAATACTTAATATGAATATTTTTATACATTATCCTTCAGAAGAACGATGACATAGTAGGTGTACTTACTGAAAAACTACAAAAATGTAAGAGTTAATGTTGGTGAATATAATATTAATATTCAGCGTCATGGCGACAACATATAGAGACAATATCTTTACACATAGTATAGAAAAGGCTTCGACCTAACCCTTGCGATTTAGTTATGTGTACTCTGGAAAAGTCAATAATGTCCCATTTCTTGGACCGTTAAAGTTCAATTAACGTAGCCTACGGAGCGTGGAATGAAATATAAAAATGGAGTCATCGGTGGCGGCCGTAAAATCCACAACAATAAGTATTTTATGATACATCCGTCCATTAGTCTGGGCATATAGGTTTCAGGGAAACTAATCTGCTTTAAGTTTTATATATGAGGAACCTAAACCTGTGGCTTTGAAGTGCTTTTCTTTAAAGGTAGTCAAGAATTGTGATACGTATAATGTTTATACGCAACACATTATCATTTTATTACTGCTTAACTATATATATATACATAGTTAAGCTGTAATAAAATGATAATACATACAATACAAAAGTAGAACATGACATTATGACGAATTTGCTCCAATATCGTGTATTTGTATATAAAGAAATACATGGAAACTAAACGTTTTATGCTGAATCCTGTCATACGTGATTAATCATAGCTTTCATATTGTGATTTCGAATTTATAGTTATTTGCGGAGTAAGTGAAATGGAAAAAGGTTTTTTTCTGTACGTTGTTTTTGTGGTAATGAAATGGTAATTAAAACGCAAAATTATGAAGAATAGTATGGATATCAAAGGACGTCTGTGCTGTTCACCATAGATCTAATACGTAATGTAATTTCTCAGTACAATAATGTTGTTTGGCATAAGGTGTTACGAGTTCTTATCCAGTAATTTTACTCCAAAACTTAGTATTGTCCTCACTTTTAAGGTTGAACTTAAAAGTCCTCAATCAACGCGACCTGTTCAAAAATATTAATTTGTCACCTGCGTTGTTCTGTAGTAAGAATAGAAGATTATAAAGTAATTATAATATTTAAACATAATTATTACAGAGACGATATTATTTAGAATGACAGGTACTTTAGGAAAAGTGACCATTTGGATGGGATAAGGGGGTGCCTGGGGTCGACATAAATTCCAATGTCGGCATTATTGCGGCGTCCTTAGTTTGACGAAGGTACGGTTCGAATTGTTGAGGCTATCTCAAAGCAGATCACGCCCTAAAATTATCTACCGTCTATTGTTTACACGACACAACATACTTGATAATACAGAGATTGGTTGCCGCAAAATTTGACGATATTAATAAACTCAAGTAGGTACCCATATAAGTCAATGCCCTATTTCAATATATGGAACTAGGGAAATTTAACCATTGCAGAATTATTGCCTTCCGTCATGTAGAACTTTCTGCTTTTCAGATCCATTAACTTTCGACTATCATTTTTCCTAACGCAGTGAAATACTCAGGAATGATAGCGAAACTAGGATTGCTAATAACAGGAGCTGTGTTACAAGTTTAAAAAATACTTTAAATTTGATCTAATAATTTTGTTGGTCTAATAATGTTTACATGAATGTTTGGTAATATACCAAACATTCATGTAAACATTATGACTGGAATGGCAAACAAGCATACGACTTACCTATTAGAACATATATGAATGTTACAAAATTGATTTTATTTATTTATTTGAAACAGAAAAACGTTTACCAATTCACTGAAGAAACGATGACATTCACAGAAGTATAAAACTGTGTTGCTAATATCGACAATCGATTGTAACGCTTGTAGTACAATACCCATATATTACTTTGAGACCAAGAACGCAGCGTAATTCTCATATTTAGTTCACAGACACATAAAAAGACTATTAGCAAAGTCATATACACATAAGATGTAAAGATATTATATATGTAAGTATATATACACTGTGGTTAGGTATTCACATGGAGCGGTCGCCAGGGTCAATAATTATCTATAAACAAATATTTCATTATCAAAATATTACATAAACTCATAATGTTAAAATTAATTGTAGTCTTCTATGTTTATCGACTGTAAATAATGATAAATAATATACAGTCAATATTTACTAAGCGTAAGTGGCGCACTCCGATCCATAATTATTTACATATTTTATATTTATATATATAAAGTTTACAGTTATGTATAGTTACAGATATATATAGTCGATACATCTAAAACTATACTAATATTAAATTTATAAATACAAAGTGACTTTCTTGGTTTTTTGTTATGCTTGAAAGCCTTAACATTTTGTTGCCATAACAGCCATAACAACTTAAAAGTTTGAAATTATATTACTTTTCGCCATATGTCACTCGGACGTAGCCCGACTGCCTCCGAGTGACGGTACGGGTAGCAGTTAATGATATATTGTAAACAGTGTAATGAATAATGTATTTAAATTAAAAATTCAATTACATCATTAAAAAATTTATTAAGAAAAATAATGTATTCTATTATGAATATTTGTTTTAAAGTTAATTACAAAAATAACAATAAATAATAGTAATAAATGCTCTTTACGAAACTGGCACTGGGAAATATCACTATATTATAGTTTGTTTGTCTGCTACTAGTACTTATTTTAATATTTTATTTAATTTTTAAGTAATTACTAATTTGAAAATAAGTTAACAAATTGTTAACGTAATATCTAAACGACCTGCTAGATATTATATTCGATTAATTTTACTTCTAGGTATTTGTACTTAATATAAGTTTATTTAATTCTAATCTATACTACTGTAAGAAAAGTGATCCTGTCTGTTTGTCTATTTGATATCTCATTACGAAACAACGACTGACCGAATATTAATGAAATTTGGCATGTATATAGATTGTATCACGAGGAACTGACATAGACATAATATTTTATATCAAAAATGTTTTTCAGATGATGTTGCGAAAAATATACTACCTGAGTATATTTTATGATACAATCAACAATGTTTATTCATTTTATGATCTAGTTTCTTTGTTAAACCAAGAACATGGTTAGAAATAAATCCGACACGATATCTCTGCGAAACGTCACAACCAATGTATGTGTGAAATGTAAAAAACGTACAATAAACTACAACCATAATAAAAATATGTATATATCAATATTCTACCACAAGCCTAATACTAATATTAATATATGAATCCTATTCACTGTCAGACAAAAGATTAGGTTCTCTTTTCATTGTAACCTTAATTTGTTGAATAAATAAATTAAACTGAGTTGTAGTTCTAAACTTGACCTTGAATTTCTCAACGTTTTTCAAAAATACGGGATACAAATATGGTAACAATCCATGATCTAGAGTCGGGAATAGATGATGCAGGGTGTGGTCTCCAAAGAAAGTCATCACTTTAAACAAATTGTCGTTGATGTCTGTTCGATCTATCACTGCTTCCACCTCATGTACACCCCAGTCTCGAATCGGCTCTCTAAAATATATATAATTAATATTAATAAAATATCTTCACGGTTATTATTACCGTAAGTGTAGTCAGACGTATTGTCCACTGTCAATGTTGTATTGAACACTACAATTTATAAGTTCATATATAACTAGGTAATTTTGACCCGAATATAGCAAAAGAAAAGGCAAGTATACCACCATCTGTCGGATTAAAACAGTTTTTTTGTGGGTATTAAAAAAAAAAAATATAGATGTACTATTTTTTGTATCAGCCATATTCTAATTCACAAAGTGGTGGTGCAACGTAAACAGGATGCTATCTACGATGTTTTAAGGAAAAATAAAAATGGCAGATGCACATATACCGCAAGAGTTATAAAATTTAAATGTTAATCTATACATATATAACCATCTCGTATAAAAATTGAAACTAGGCCTCCTAGTTACTTATAATATAAATAATGTGGCTGTATATTATGATAACCGTAATTGCGATAATATTGTTATGATTATTTTATATCGAACAGTTTGGATTGGCAAACGGTAGGTCGGTGGTGTTACGGACGTCCATAGGCTAAATTAACATTAGGCGGGCCGTACACTTAATTACCACCATTGTGGTTTAAGCAAAATGAACCACATTCGTTTATTGTAATGTTAGTACGTTATTTGTACGATAGTACATTGTTAGATTCTAGGCTAAAAATAGTTCACTCCCAAAAGTTGAGAGCGTTATAGACACACTAACTATATTATTAGTTTATCATTACATAGTATAAAATAAAGTCGCTGTCGCTGTCTGTCCCTATGTATGCTTAAGGCTTTAAAACTACGCAATGGATATCGAAGCAGTTTTTTTAATAGATAGAGTGATTCTGGAAGAAGGTTTATATATATAATACATGTACACCCGAGCAAAGCCGGGGCGAGTAGCTAATTATATTATAGAATATTTATAAATACCTTAGTTCATCGCCATCGTGGAATAATTTCGGATGATGATGAGCTGCGTTTGATCCAATCGTATAGAATATATAACTTGCAGTGCAGTTAATCCACAACCACATTTTAAAAGCCTCAACGAAAGGAACACCGCTAACTATCCACATCCAAATCGGAATAGAAAGTCCAATCATGTCATGCCATCGGTAATGATCTTTAAAGTAATCCTTTCTTATGAAATTTAGAATAACCCTGTAAAAAATAATAAAAATTTACGACTAATTTCAAAAACAATCTGATGTGATAGTGAATGCCGATTCAACAGATCGCTTAAAATACAATCCAGAAACTTTCTATATATATGTATATTACGTGAAAAAATACTATTTAATGTCTCAATTTGGCAATGATTAAACAATTTGAATAAAACTTAAAATTTTGTGCATTATATTATGTTCCTTTTATCAAAGTCCACTACTTTAAGATCGCCAGAGTGCAGCCGAACATTCCACCAATAGAGATATCACTACTCTCATTAATTATGCAATATTGTAGCTAATTAGTAAGGCCAAATGATATTGGCATGCCAGATAAGTTCCATACTTTGCTGTGAAATAAATTAAAAAAAATAACAATAAACTTTCGTGCAACCAGAATCTATTTTTGCGTTTATTTATATAATTTGCGTCACTTAATAACGAAAGAAGTAATCTTATTTAGAATAGATATCTGTTTTCCTCGTACTGTTGACGCTAATGGTACAGAACTTGAAATTAACCAATAATGATATCAACTAATAAAGGGTTCATGAGGCCAATTTGCACGGCTGTCAGTAAAGCTCAAGTAGGTAAATTATATTCTAAAGGTTTTATATATTGTATAATATTTGGTAAATAATTTATTGTTTTCAGCCGTTCGGCGAAATATTGTTGCTACCACTGATCATTACGAACTATAAACCAGACGGTTTATAGTTCATGATGATCAGTGGTAGCGTAAATAAAAATTATAGGCAAATATAAGAAATATATATATACGTATCTAAATGATAGATAGTGAAATCGCTATAAACCCAACGTTGTTATAAAAAGGTCATTGTTTTTAAAATTTAGAAATTATTATAAAGTGAAATTAGTAGACTAATATTTATACTACTTTAGACTTGAATAGAGAAGTGCTATATTAATAGTAGTAGTACTATAAATTAAGTATTATGTTAATAAACTAAATATAATATATACACAAGAACTTACATAATAACATACAAATTCGTGTGTGCTTAATCCTATTATGAGTATTTGCAGTTTACTTACTTTTTCATAAATGTTAAAATGAATAAAAATGGAAATAGTGCATTTTCAATTAAAAATGCAAAATTGGCGTGTATCGGAACATTGCGTTTCGGGATCCAATGCACCAATGGTTCGAATCCACTAATCTCTAAATCCATAAGAGTGTTAGGGAACAAATGATGTGATAACGCGTGAGATACTCTAAAGTCTCTGAAAACATATAATTATATACATTAGTATAAAAGACAAGAAAATTTAAATATAATCAAAAGTTGTTTACGTACCTGTACGACCATAAGCCTATATTAAAGACGTACATTCTCCAGTTGGATTTTCTATGAATGTAATTATGGGAAGCTACCATCGCCCATGCCATAGACAATGACGCTATAAAATAAGAGACAGTGGCCACCCAGTAATTACTAGAGTAACATGCTAGAACAGAAGTAACCAGAAGTGTAAATAGCAATCCATCTATAATTTGATCTGTTCTTGTGCCAACGCCTTTTGGTATTTTCTTTAATTCTTCTACAACATCTTTTTTCAATGAATCATAGAAATCATCCTTCTTAAAGGTAAATGGTGAATTTCTTGGTGTCGCTGCTGGTTTCACATAGTATTTCTCTAGAATTTTATATATTGATGGATTCAAATGATGTACTTCGAAAGCTTCTGTTATATCAGTTCCCTGTAAATCATGTTTACTATAAATACGAGTACATAATATTAACATGTCGCATTGGTAAAATAAAATTATGATCATTAAACAACTTTTTATGACAAAATACTGCTACATACATATATTATTTTTATGCAATTTTGTTTAAATTGATTATGTAAACTGCCTAAATTAAGAATTTATATAAAATACAGTTAGTTTTTTACATACTTTTGTCAACTCGAGCCATTCAGATCCACCAGGATGATGTAAAATGAAGGAATCTAAATCATATATTTTATCATGCACTCTCCACAAGCCTTCGGCACCGTCATCCAAAGCTTTTCCAGTCAACCATTGAATAGGATCCTTGAAACCTTCATCTCTAAGTGAAGGATATTTCAATTGAGGAAAACTGACGTGAGTTTTCTTTTCTACAGCCCTTTGATGGGCAATTTCCAAATAATTGTCTCCTCTTGGCGCCATTATAAGAAAATTTGTCTTCTCAATATTATTGCCATTTATATTATCTCCGAATCCAAATGTATAGTTTCAAACACTACCAAGTACTCTGTCAATCTATGAATCAATAACAATTTTTTTGTAGTGATCAGACTATTGTTCTCTTATACGTCTCGTCTTTCCCCACTCTAACCAATGTTTATTTTGATACGGAGGACATAATTGTCAATATGCTTCCATTTATGATAACCCAATGTTGTTATCGTAAACAATGTGCTGCTTATCAGTTTTTTATACCACTGAGGTGGCAAACGCAATTGTCAAATTATGTAATTGTGGAAAAATATAGGGGTATCTTAATGTAACGTAAAATTACAGACGTGTATTTTTACCTAATATCATCTTACTGCACAGTGTTCCAAAAGGAATTTCATATTTCAATAGAACTTAAGTTTACGAACATGACATTCATTGTCTTACATTTGCTAGAAGTCATTTATAATAACAGAGGTAAACTATGTATGTAAGTGGTTTGCGTCGATTATGCAGTCTCACCTGTTTCAGTCGGCAAGCAGCTTGCTTTGTTTCGATCATAAGATGCGATTGAGCAGATAAATTACAGTATAAGGGGCATGATGTCTTGGTCTGATACAGCAACGTATGGGTGGTATGACGAGTTTCATTTAATAACGTGATGTCTGTAAATCCGTTCATGTATTTACATAGACGATTCGCGCTTACCATCAGGTAGGCCGTCGACTTGTATGTCATTGCAATCATGATTATAATCGTGTTAAATTATATCATAATACATATATAAATATATATATAAACATAATATGAATCCAGACTATTCTATATAATAGTCGTGTATCAGTTATAAAAATTATAGATACGCAGCTTAGTTGGAGATGATAATTACGTATTGTGCCATATACAAATGTAACTAATAACAAACAACTACACAATAGTTTACTATCAAAGTTTTAAATATATTCTTTAATAAAAATAGATGTAGATGCTACTGATTTAACATGCAAGTCATTAGTAGTTTTATACACTAGTTACTATGGCAACGTGCCATACCGCAGTGACCTCCGACGATGTATGCATATAGTATCAACAAGCACGCGTGCAAGACTCAAAGAGGGTTTCTTTTGACGTGACAATTAAATAGTCCTCACATCTGAAGTCAACGACCGTGGCGCATCTAAATTAGGGTCTTAAATATCATAGTTGTGTTTATGTCACAGATAATACGAGCTGAGTCTAATTTATTATTTTAAATATATAATGATCGTTATCATTAAATCTAAGTTCTTATTCCGTATCAGTTTTGATCATTTTTTTTGTTATGCATATCAACCAGATTCATACATACCCAACATTTCTCCATACCTTTGCTGTATTCCTTAGCTTACCTTATGTTATTTGATTTTTATATTTAAATGTCTGCTCCTTCATTTTTATCCATTTCTTCTAATTTGTTTACCAAAAGATGACGTAATAGATGAGACAATAACCGGACACTTCTGTTCTCAAATATAATACTTTATTAGTAATTACCTACTTTTATCTTGCGATGCTGTCTGCGTTAATTATTGGTAAATTATTCTATATGGATTTACAAATGTGGGTATGATCTATTTTTGTAGCGAATTTGATGCGAATTCATTACATTTTTTGCATTTTCATACCATTATTATTCATTCCGTTATTTACATTTACCTAATTGTTATTGTAATATCATAACATTAAATAATCAGTACTGTTCTAACACTTAAATGCACAGGCTTCGTAACGCGAACCATTAATTTAACACGACAGGTGGGAATTTCCGAATTAAAATTTCTCAACGTTTGATTAATTTTACCTTCATTCATCTTTGTGGAATTTATTGATCATGCTTATTGCTTCAGCATTTTTTACTATAGATATTCATTTTTAAAGGGTATAAAAATTTTACTGTTACCTGTTAAATATACTGTTATGCATGCACAATCAAATTTTGAATGAATTTAGTTTTAGTATATTAAGTCCTATTAAATTACAGGATAGATAGGCATCAGGATGAGAAGAACCTTAATGCTCTCAAATGCATAAGGGGCACTAATATCGCATAATGATGATAAAAAAATAATTTTCTAAAATAATTTAGGTAGGTATTTGATTGAATTTATCTCTTCTGTGCGAAAATATTTACACAATATGTTGCGATATGTTAAGGTAGATAATATTATTTGTTGATAATATTGTGTTGTCATTTATTTTGTAACTATATATGTCATTTACAACAAAAGTTGGTATTTTTATTTCATTTTATAGCAAATTTTTACACTCTTTTCGCACAGATATACGTAGACTGAATCTTAGGTGATATAAAAATAATAATGATATAATACTATATTCTATTTAAGGTGAAAGAATAAAAATTAAACGCATAAAGTTAAATTCTATTTCTATATAAATGAGACTGAAAGCGAAGACAAAAAAGTTATTCATTCAGTAATAAATTTTAACTGAAACGTTCGGAATTTCAACTACGCAGTTCATTATTTAGATAAAATTACCACAACGCTATGTGTTGAAGAAAGTTCAAATCAAAGAAATAAAATAGTAAATTCGAGCTTGTGATTTTATAAAAAAATAAATCGTAATAATCCAGTTATTAGAAGTTATTGCATTATTTTTTAAGAGATCTTTTACCACATTTTGTATTTTCTATCTTTGATTCTTTCATTAGTTAGCTTAGTCTGTAGGCTGTCAGGTTTTCATGTCAGGTTGGACGACCTACGGAAGTTATTTAATCTGTGCTTTAACGATTCAATTCCATACAACACATTGTTGCATCAAATTTACAAACGAATAGCTGTTAAAAAATGTAATTTCCAAACAGCGAACACAGACTTGATACAACAGTTCAACACAACATACCTTGTTAACTTTTTTTATTATTTTGTTATCCTTTATCGAACACTTTCAATATGAGCGGGTTGTAAATTATTTATTATGAAGGTACCTTTAAATTATTGGCATTCTGGGAAAAAACAGTCGATCAATCCTATCTACCCTAATTAAGATAATAACTGTGTTAGTGTAACTGTACTATTTAAAACTCACACAATCATTGGTCATAAAGCAAATCTCTCAAAATAGAAATACATCATTATAAAGTGTTAGACATGCTGTTTGTTTTCAACTGAGTTCACAACTGAATGGATTGTAACCAGGTGATATATTTATAATTCTTACCTTGATTCCGGTGTAGTGTTTAGTAACAAGAAGAGTGCTGTATTCTGAAATAAAATAGTATCAATAGACTTCAGGTGTTGGTCCAAGGGTAAGTAACGTAGTAACGTAGCATCGTCTCCATTCCTATCTTACGATGATTATTATTTAGATCAAAAGGATTTCCCAAAAGTATCAGGTTAATAAACTACCATCAACGTGCTCATGAATCTCTGCCAGTATTTGTAGAACAAAATATTCCTACCTATGTATTTTTTAATTCCAATATTCAGCACTGCCGCTGCATCTGACATAGTCCTAGTTTAATAGAGATAAATTGAGACATGTTAGGATTTCCTAAATTTATTTTTCAATAGCATTTTATTTTAAAAAGATCAGGTATGTAACGTTGTCCGTACGTAATGTTGTCCTATTCTTTACTCTTATTCTCTAAATTTATATTATTATGTAATTAGAAGTTTTCTAATTCTACTATTTTTCTTAGAAGGTTGTTTGGATAAGGTAAAGAAATGTATTAAGAAATAATATTGCCTCAGTAATAAATACTAATGATTTTCATTTAGTTAATTATTCATAAACGATAAATACTGATTCAACGCGCGTCGCTGATGCATTATTTAAGAGTAATTAATTAATAATTGCTTGTTTTGATATGGTTTTCTTTACATACTAACATATTTTACATTCAATTATCGCAAAGGATATAAAGACCAGTACTGCCATCTTTTGACTTATCGTGATCTATGTAATCTTAATATCCACGAAATTTCAAACTTGAAGTTTATTTATAAAATTATCAATAATGCTTATGCAACATTGTCTCCACTGCTTATTTATTGTGTTAACTCGCTTAAGATAAAATATGTACATTAATTTATGCTTATAAATTTTAATACACTGTATTAATTACTGAGATTTTCGAGTATTTCGTCATTACAAAAACACTCTGATGGATTTAAAGAACAGCTCATTCTAGCCGATTTTGTTAATAAAATTGAAGAGAGAGAGAGAAAGGGTTTTGTTTTGAGAAAAGTGAACGTCTGTTTTAGTGCACTAATTTAAGAAAAATGTTCAATTTTTCTATAATCTTCTTAAACAATAACTTTCAACATTGTTTCGAACTAGTAGTGTAGTGTTGTAGCATACACCCTTACTTCCAATAGTCGCGAATTCAACCCTCGTATGATTAATTAATTAACATTCAGTAAGACTAAGATAAAGAATATTAAAGTCAAACTATATTTATCTATTATCAATTTGATCACAGACTTTTATAATAAACAAAGGAGGGTGTGTGTGACAAAGACATAGTAGTGTGTTTAAAGTTTTCTTATTCATTGAATTACAATCATATTTTTTTAATATTACCAATCTGCACTCATTTTCTATATAAACAAATTTCTTCACGTATTAACATATAGACAAAGATAGTGAGTTTTTTCACTATTGCACCATTATTACATTGATTTTTTATCAGTTTCTTATTTATTGTATGATGAATTACAATATATAAGAATAATAAAGTAATATTTCATATTTGTAGCCATTCCATTTACTTCGCCTCTAAAATAAAAGACAATAATATCAAATAAAGATGGTTATCTACTGTCAGATTTCTCTCATTATTTCTTCAGCAAGGGTTCCTTGGGAGACATTATCGTTGGCACAACGCCATTGGACTGTTTCTTCCAATGTAGTTATGGATCACTGGTATGACTTTTATTTGCGTTACATACCAGTACATATGTCGTAGCCAACTTGTGAAATTTGGTGCAAACCATAATCGTGACAGCTGATAATACAACGCTGTTTTGTACAAGGTCAGAAAGAATATTCCCGGCATTGTATCAGTTTTTAATACCT